AACACATCTTAACTTGGTCAAACCAGTTAAATGGACTGGTTCTTATACAGCACTTTTCTACTCTATCTCAAAGCACTTTACACAACTTGTCTCATTCACCCATTTGCACAAGCACTTTTTTCTATACTCTTTCTATGGAAGTGCACAGGCAATCATGCACCAATAGATGCATCAGAAAGCAACTTGGGGTTGGTACATGGCCCAAGGATATTAGGCATGCAGACTGGAACAGACGGGGGTCGAACCTCCAAATTGGTAAGTAACCTGCTCTACCTCCTGAGCTACAGCCGCCCCCCCCCCCATCTGCTTTGAAATTGTATTTATTAAGTGATGTTTTACCTGGTTCCATCTGGACACTGCGTAGACCACAGAACACCATCTTTGTACCTATTCACAGCTAAATCAGAGATTTAATTTGAACATGATTTTTATACTGACATGTAACTTTCATTAAAATATAGCCAGCCTGAATACAACATAAAGTGATTAAGATATATCTGAAAGACTTAACCTGAGGTCATTTTCAAAATATCAGAATAAAAACAAAAGAAAAGAAAAGCAATCATCCTTAAAGATATAAATGGAAATATTATAATTTGAAAAAAACTTTGAAAGATATTTTTGTTGTTGTGTGGGCAAATAAAATATATAAAAAAAAAAAAAAAATTTTTTTTTTCAGATATTACTCTGACGGGGAATAAAATGGAAAAGACCCACCATGTGGAGACACTACGATCTATGAAGAAGGCTAATTTCGATCAAAGATTCTGATGCGTCATCTTAACCTTCATAAAACACATGGAATAAATTCCTACCTCTTAAAACACTGACGTTGGTCCAGTAAATACTTTCCTCCTGCTGTTTGTGACGTAAACGCGCTCGTTTCTAAAACAGTCGCAGTAAAAGGTCCAGCCGAAGACAGAGATGTCCACTTGTGCTCCGCAGACAGCTGTGGAAAAAAACACAGCGCTGAGGGCAGGGACAGTCAGGTGGGCGAGGCTTCAGCAGCCAGCCGAAGCAAACAAGTGCATCTACCAGCTGCTGCTCTCAGCGCAGTTAATATCAATTAAAGTCAGTGAGCAGAGAGGAAGCAACAGCCACATAACAGCAACACAGTGCGGTGTTAGAAAAAGTCACTGTGTTTTGCACGAAGTTTTTTATGTACTGCATGAAAACCCCTAATTTGTTTCAAATACCAAATTCCAGTTTACAATAAACACAAAAATCAGAAATCAAAAACATGAAATTAAAGAAAATTAAATTAGGATGGATATTATGGCACAACACTAAATTCAAAGCAGTATGAAGTAGTTGTGGGCGATATAAACGATATACAATAGAAACGATATAAATTTGGCCAACGATAGAGATTTTGCTCTATCACGATAGCGCATGTTGATGACGTCATCAAGCTACGCCTGTTTTGGTCGAAAGCCTCACAGCGGCTACAGCCATTATCATCTGCAAATTATGCCGGGCGACAGTCATAGCAAAGAGATGATTTTGAAATATGGGGAAAGCCAAAAACTCCGCTTCACTTCCGTAACATTGATTCATTAATGTTGAATTTTCTCGTAGCTGTTCTATTCCCATATTGTTGCAGTACATTAATAACTACCTTGGATATTGGAGGAATAATCTCAGTTGTTCTCCTGACTGAAATTTGGCCCGTGTATAGCATCCTGCTATGCGATTGCATTTGTCTCTAACCACCAGAATCCCTCACGTTAACTTTTATCAGTGGAAAAAAAGTTGGAGTTCATCCTCCAGCTTCACAGTGCTAATGTTATGCTAACATAGCTGTGTTGCTAGCAATCACGTAGCACAACATTACCAGGTAGTCCAACTTCAGTAACCCTGCAAATGCCACTGCTGTTTAGTTTCTGTCTTAATTTATGTCGGGAGTGGTAGCAAAGCTGTACGTTTTAATTAGTTTCAAAAATCTCTCAGTCAGAACATGGTGTCGTGTTTAGGAGGAAACTAGCGAGCTAACTTCCTGTTAACTTCTAACTCCGTTAAATTTAATAACTTCTGTTTTCATGGATGCCTGGTTGTTAATCTTAATTGTTACACCTGGTAAAGCAACAACACTGATGATTTTAAAAGAATTATGAAATTAATTAATTAATTAATTATGAAAGAATTTAGACTGTTTTTAACTCTCAGTGTTCGTTTGACTTTGGGACCTGAAGCGGAAGGAGTTTTGGACCCAATTACTCCGCGAAGCTCTTCACTACGGCAGCCGTAATGCTCTGACAATCCATCAAAACATCTTTTAACGGATTTCTGCACGCCCAAATCGGTCGAGGTCAGTAAGCACAACCAGAATTCATACATAAGGCACACTCGATTTTTGAGAAAATTAAAGGATTTTAAGTGTGCCTTATAGTGTGGAAAATATGTTATACAGAAGAAAATAATATATCGCGATATATCATTACCGCACGTGCTTCAAATTATATCACGATATGGATTTCAGGCCATATCGCCCAGCCCTAGTATGAAGTCAATAAACCAAACCCTCAGAGCCGCAGAGTTTCTCTTTTGATGCTGTAACCCAACAGGACTTTTCCAGCTTCCACACACTCTGTCACACACAGTGCTAAAAACACAGTTATTACAAGAAAGCATGTGGAAAAACAGCTGATCGTAGCCATGGCACACTGTTAAAATAAACACACTTTATCAGCTATTATCATGGTTTCTACCATTCTGAGCAC